GCTTGAGTGTGGTGGAAGTGTGGGACTAAGATCGTGTATTTATAGTAGAGGGGTGATGATACATAAATCAAAATTGAATAGGTAATTGTGCATACATATAATTGATTAGGGTTAAAATTTATCATGGTTATTTTCTAGCTTCTGCTGCTTTGATTCAGATATAGGTCGTGTTTGGAGTTGGAAAGTCAGAGAAAAAATAAAAGGAAGAGTATTGACTTGTATAATGGTAAGAAGTATGTTTGTTTGGTTAATAAGTGATAACAAGAGTTTCAAAACCAAACGGGTTATTGAACCGGTGAAGCTACCGGTTCAATGGTTCACTGGTCGGACCAGCGGTTGAACCGGTCAAACCAATTTAGTTAATATATATTTATTTATTTCTTTTATATGTATAATATATAATTGTATACATTTTTATCATTAATTTTATGTAGTGCAATGACTGATTGTATTTTAGTGCTATTTTTAACATTGATGTATTTTATTAAAAATAGCAGCACAATTTATATTAGCATTTGTGAAAATGATAGCACCATGTGATATTAAAAATAGCATCTTACACAATTGGAAATAACATCAAATATGGTTTTCACGGTTCTCACACCAGGGATAATTTTTATTTGAACCAACCCATATATATATATATATATATATATATATATATATAGAGAGAGAGAGAGAGAGAGAGAGAGAGAGAGAGAGAGAGAGAGAAAGAGAGAGAGAAGAGAGAGAAGATCATATGAGAAAGAGAGATAGGTAAAGAAATAAAAATAAATCTAGATCATTGGATACATCATATAAATGGTCATGATCAAATCAAAGTTTGGTCAATCATTAATGGCAATACGGTAAATTAACATACACATTGTGGTCAAATGTACATATGTGACTATTCAATAGGAGCAAACCAGTCATTACACGCTAGCCTGCCAACCCTAATATTTATACCACACAAACACACACTATCACACAAAACACACACTACACACATGCACACACTCAGCAAACACACACACACACACATAGAAGCCCAGCCCGCCGGAGACTGCCGCCGTACCTCCGCCGGCTTCCGACATACCTCAATCGGCCTCCGTCGTGCCACCGTGCAAAGAGTGCCACGATTCAGGAGATTACTCTGGTCGTGCCTCCATCGTGCATCCGAGTGTGCCTCCGCCGTGCCCCCATCTGGGCCTTCATCGTGGTTGCGGTCCCCAGCGTTGCCCTTCGGCCGCCACTCCGAATCTGAATGGGCCGCGCTCTGCCGCGCCTGAAAGCCGACGTCCACTGTCGTCGCTCCCGTCTCCTTCTCCGCATGAGGCTCCAGCGAGGAGCCCTACAAGGTGGAGGCTCAAGATGTCTCGTGGTTCACGTCGCGGGGAGGGGGATGGCGGCAGTTGGGGTGGGATGACGGCGACGTCGACGGCTGATGAGTGTTGGTATCGGCAAAATTGGGGCTGAGATTGCGCGTAATTGGGGCCGAGATTGAGTAACGGGAATGAGTGTTTCATTGTTTTGGGGCTGAGTTTATACTTGGGAAATTAGATATATTTAGAGGATTATTTTGCTATTTATGAAATTTTAATATATGTATAGTTTATTACTCAAGGACAATTTATAATTTAATAAAGATTAATTTATGCACAATTATGGCACACTAGTAATCATCGTGTGCACATACACGGATAAATAACGTAATATGTGAGAATTTTAAAATTATAGATAACGAACATATGTTATTTTCAAGATTTGATCATTATTAAAATACAAAATATAAATATAAATTATTTAAGTATATGTAAATCACTATATCGATCGAAAAAAATGTGTTTCGTGTAATTTTTACAATTTGGAGGGATCGTGATCAGGAATTTAGTTAAGTAAAAAAAAATATCATCATCATCATCATTATTATTATAGCAACAATTGTTTATAAGATTTTATAGTGGTTTGACTATGTTATTAAAAGTTTAAACTATTCAGGTAATTTCTTTTTAAGAAAATTGTTTCATGAGATACAAAAAAAAAGATAATATTTATTTTAGAATAAATAGCTTGAAGAAAAAAATTCACATTAGAATTATTTATACTTATGTAATTTCTATTTAGTGTGAATTGTTATTAGTTGGTATTAGCATTAACTATTATATACTAATAGTAAAAAGCATATTATTTCACTTAATAGGGTTAATTAATGTGATAAGTAAAAAACTAATAATGATAAAATTTTGTAACTGAAAATGGAAAATGGAGGGTAACTAAAAATATTTTTATTAAATGCATTGCTAGTAAGTATATATATATAGATTAGTTGCACAATATTGAGTCTAGATGTGCACTTTAAAAAATATTGTCATATATATATGAAATTATTAAAAATTTGATAAATACACCATTTTTTTCGATAAGTGATTTTCACAATATTTGTCTATAGATATGCGCTTTAAAAATAAAAACAAATAATCACAACGAAAAATTTCGAATTGAAAATTTTGGCATAATCGGTGTAATTTGTTGGTTAACATAAATAACCAAAATAACCGAAATAGATTATATTATTTATTCTCAAAACATGTTTAGTCTTTAATATTTTTTCTATGTTATTTTTGTATTAAAAAGATAATATATATGTAAACGAAGTATAATGTGCAATCTATCAATTATTAATGTGCAATTCGTCCAACATTACGGTGCATGGTGTCGGTCTATATCATTCAAAATTGGTCCTATAAAAACGTGACGTGACGTGACGTTTTAAAATATGACAATAGCGTGATTGTGATTTATATTGCGGGATTAGGAAACGTTGACTTCAAAATCAAATGTCCACATCAACCATAGGCCTTAAATGCAATTAATTAAAAATTTTAAAATTGCAAAATTGTCCATATCAGGGTTATCAAAGGGACTGGTCAGTTCGACCAGTTCAATCGGGAACTGTCCTTTGTACCGGTCCGGTTCATAGGACAAAATCGGTCATTGAAAGAACCGGTGAAGAATCGCCTGAACCGGTGCAAAACCGGTCGAACCGGTGAACCAGTCCCGGTTTTGGCGGTTTAGAGGTTTAGATGAAACTACCTCATATTGAATTTTTTAACTACTTACTGGAAATTAGAAAACAAGAAAGGAAAGACAAAATCAAAACTGAAAACAAAAAAATCTCAATTTTCTCCAAGAGAAAATCCCTAATTTCCATTGTTCCAGAAGCCCTTCCAAAAACAAAGCTTCGTACGATGCGTATTTGCCGGTGATATCTAACTCGAACGTTCTGCTCTTCCGCTGGACTCTTAATCTGGTCCGCAGCCTCTGTCCCAATGTTGAATGGCGGCTAGAATAACTTTTAGTATTTAAAAGATGAAGAAAACTAAAATATTAATATAGAATGAATAATAAACTATATGTTTAATCTCATAGTCTTTGCGTATAATGAATATTTATGAACTATTTTATGAATAAGTTTAAGTATTATTTAAATGTTTAAATTGTCTAAATATTTAATTAATTATGTTTTATATATAAAATTTAATATATATAATATATATATATATATTAAAATATTAATATATTAAATACCGATCTAAGCGGTTCAACCACTGGTCCGACCAGTGAACTATTGAACCAGTAGCTCGACCGATTCGATTTTTAGAACCACGGTTCATATAACTTATTAAATTTTAAAAATAGAGCCCCTACAACCCAAACCCTATTTCAGCTCCACTTCAACCATCTGCCACCGCCGCGGGCTGCCTGCCGCCCGTCAACCATCTCCAATCGAAAATTTTTGCATCATCTTGAAGCTCTTTTTGTTCTCTTTCACCTCCTAAAAATTCTGGCAAAAATTCCACCGGTAAGGCTATCAATTGCTCTGGTCAAAATTTTCAGATTTAAACATTTCGGTCAAAATTCGGGCTTATTCTTCAATTTGCTGGCGATTCACGGCGACCCACTGAAATTCGAGGACGCCTCTGGACTGCTCAGGCCGCCGCGCACTCGACGACGTCCACCATCTCAGGAAACGGCAATTTTTCCCGACGAGAACACCTCTTGTTCTGCCATGCGAGCAACATGTTCTTGACAAATAGAGCTACGTACTACTGATTGCTGAAGTAGCAGAGGAAGTCCTCTACGCAGCTCAATTTTTTTTTTTTTCTTTTTTATTTCATTGTATGGTTTTTTTTACGCAAGTTTTTCTTCAAATCTTCTTTTCTATTTTTTCAGCTCCATTTATTCTATTTCAGCAGGTTCTTCTTGGAATAAATAATATGAATTAGTGGTATACTCTTTCATATCCTATGAACATATAATAAATGTATTATAAATTTAATAAAAATAGTGTGGTGTTTGATAATAATATTTGTGGTTTATTTTTTTAGTCATGTTCTATGAACATACCATAGATTTTGACAAACATAATTAAGGAGCATCAACAAAATATATGCATGTGAAATTAATTTCATGACTGCTAAGACGTGTAATACGTACATTTTATTATAAATTATTATAAAATGAATACAATATATACTTAATATTTCAAAAATAACTACATTAATAGGTTGAAAATATATTTAATCAGTTTAAAGCGTAAACATGAAAGCAAAGTAATGGACGTGCTATGCGGCGAATCAGTCCTTGTGACGCTGAGCGAATAATTGTACGGAAACCGAATGATGTTAGAAATTAACAATGTAAAATCATCGGGTTTGCTATCGTGGATTTCGGTGCAAATGGTTTTCTTCTATAAGAACTTTTTTCATTTGTTTTGCAAATTATTGATTTTCTACTTTTTAATTAGTTCCATTGTACATTATTACATTATTATATAACATTATTGAGAAATGATGACAATCCATGTAGATAAGAACACGTGAAGATACATAAAACTCCAAAGTCGCCAGCAACTTTATTAGGTGTACACCATTTTCTGACCTGCAATACAAAAATTTAATAAGGCCCCACCACTCATATACCCTCTCTCCCTACCCATATGGGTTTCTG